GAATATAGAATAAAATAGAATAAATATAGAGTAAAATAGAATATAGAATAGAATATAGAATAGAATAGAATAGAATAGAGTAGAATACAGAGTAAAATAGAATAAATATAGAATGGAATATAGAATGAAATAGAATAGAATATAGAGTAAAATAGAATATAGAACAGAATAGAATACAGTGTATAATATTGAATAGGGTGGAATAGCTGGAAGGGAGCCTGGAGGTCTTCTAGTCCAGCCCCGTGCTCAGGCAGGAGAACCCACCCGTCTCAGACGAGGGACCGTCCAGTCTCTTTGTTTCCAGGACCGCCTGGGTTCTGCTCTCATGCCCACACCCTTCCTGGCCTGGCCTGCCTCTGCCGCCGCTCGCTGCCTTCCTCCCCCCCGGAAGATTCATCCATCTCCTTCTCTGCTCCTCCTTCTTTATGGCTTCTTCAGCCTGAGGACATAAAACTTCCTGGGTGGCTGAGGAAGGTGCTGGCGGACAGTCCCTCGGTTGTCTGGCCGCTGGAAACATTCACCTGGCTCCTTTTTGCATCCTAATGCAGGGAGTCCTCGACTTACGACCACAAGGGAGCCCAAAGGTTCTTTTGCCGAGTGAGTCTTACGTTAAGTGAATTTTGTCCCATTTTAAGACCCTTCTTGCCAGGAAATCCCTACAGTTGGTACATTTGTAATGTGGTTGTTAAGTGAATCGGGCTTCCGTGATCACATGAGCCCAGGACACTGCAACCGTCATAAGTGTGAGCCAGTTGCCAAGCAACTGAATTTGGATCATGTGAACCTGCGGGATGCTGCAAGGGTTGTAAGTGGGAGCAACAGTGCTACGTTGCTTTTTCCAGTGCCGTTGTAACTTTGAACGGTCACTAAACAAACTGTTGTAAGTCCAGGACTAATTGTATTCCAGGTTTCAACTCATCAAACTGGGCAGCCCCTAGGTCTTCCCTTTACAACTGCAGTGATTCGCTTAACAACTGGCAAGAAAGGTCGTACAATGGGGCAAAAAAGGGCACTCTTTGTACAATGAGCTTTTCAAAAGCTGGTTTATGGGTGGTCCTTGTCTAACAACCATTCGTTTAACGCTGGTTCCAAGTTTGGATAGGGTTGAAAAAGTGAGTTACAACTTGTCCTTGAAGTTATGACGGTCACGCCAGTTAGTGCACTTTGAAAGTGATAATAAAGTTATTCTAAGTCTAAGTTTCTCCAGTCCTTCAATTGATTTTATTTAGATAATTTATACAAGCTGCCAATAATGATGATGATGATGAAGAAGAGGAAGAAGAAGAGGAGGAAGAGGAGGAGGAGGAGGAGGAAGGAGAAGGAGAAGGAGAAGGAGAAGGAGAAGAAGAAGAAGAAGAAGAAGAAGAAGAAGAAGAAGAAGAAGAAG